TGGATCTGCCACTGGAGGACCACTTAGCCGCTTTTGAACAAAACAAAGCGCTGCATTACGAGCCAATGAGTGTTTAATCGTATAAACGTTAATAAAATTTAACGTTAAGTTGCAATTGTTTCAACACACTATCGGGTGTAAACCAATGAAATGTTAGTTGATTGACAAATAATTCATTCTAAATAATTAATGATTTACTCAATAGTAACAGAGCTATTTACATCACAATTTGTGAGTCATTATCCTTGATTTTACTAAGAATAAGAAAAAACAGTTGTCTATACATAGTTATTACAATTATTTCAATTATTACAATTTATTCTTAGCCAATCCTATCATTGTAAATGTGGACCAAATGTTAGAAACGCATATTTTCTTTTCACAAGCAAGTGAATCAATGATCGCAATTATAAATCAAGTTTCAAATTTGTGCTTAAAAAATATATATAGTAAATAAATGTTAAATATTTAATTGTTTTTTAAGATTGATTACTTTCAACATATTGATGGTGTTGGAGCAACCTGGTACTTCAGCATTCTGGTAGTTTCTTGCTTCTGCAACCCTAAATATCAATATTTTATGTAATGCACTATTTGATATCAATGTTTTCATCACATTCAGACAGACAGATTGCCGTTGTTATAAGATATTCAATGGTAATAATTTAATATTTTACTATTATCTGAATTTCTGCATATTTTCTTCAGAAATGTATCAGTCTTTGTGTCATCATTTCATGAGTGGCACATAATTGAATTTGAATTGTGCACTAATTTGTCACTTATAAAATTAACTTCTCCATCTAATGAAGCATTATCATACTCTTTATTGCTAGTTTTTACTTTCTTTCTAATGACTTTGTTTCTCAGTTGTCCCTTCTTGTAACTCCTACAAGGTATCTCAGAAATTTCATATGTGCTGCTTGTATTTTTTTTTTTATTATCTCTGTGTCATTATCCATGTCTCAGAGCTGTACATAGCTGTTTTTCACATTTGCTAGGGACATTTTAATGAATTCCAGCTCCCTCTGTCATTTGAGTGGAGACCCTCTTGTAATTTTTTCATAACTGTGTCATTTCTTTAAATGTTAATATAATATTTTTTAATATGAATTATTATCACACTCAGAAAAAAATTACATTCAACTTAAACAATCAATCAGAAAGAATTCAGTTTTTATAAATAAATTTCCAATAATATCTGTATTTTTAATAGTGGTTGAAACCAAGGAATTGTACCAAAATTAGCTAAACTTTTATGTATTATTTATACAGTATATTCATATAATTAGAGTGTACTTGACTTGACTTAAAAAATGTTTTTATGTGTATATGTATGTTTGTTTTGTGCAATGTTAGGGATGCAAGTAGCAATCCCACACAAATTTTGCATGAATATTTTAAATACAATTCAAATTAAATATTTCACTGAATCAAATATGTTAATAACATCTTGTAGGTAATAAAAATTTGAAAATATGTAATGACTAGGACCATGTCCAGAGATATTTTATAAAAATTTATTACCATGTCACTAAATCACCTAGAACCACAATGTTTTGATTCTGTGTTTTGGGGTCTTCAACTGGGTCAAAACATTGTGGTTCTATTTGATTTAGTGACACAGGTTTAATACTTCTCTAAATATTCAGAAATATTGCAGATGTTAATTTCACTTTATATTTGTTCTTATGCTTTTTAAACATTTATTAGAAATACTTTGACATGTTACTTATTGCAATTGAAGAAAGCAACACAACATCCTGTGTCCTGGTTTCCAAGCCCCAAAAATTTGGGCATACTATTACATTCTAAGTGCCAGTTTCTCATACTTTTATTCCAATGTCAAAGCTGGACATACTTTGGTGGTGACAAATTATATTTTAATATTTTAAATTCAAAATCTTGTTTATCTTCTCTTATAAATTCTCAATGAAAAATATTCTAAAATAGAATGCATGAATGAAAAAGTGAATGATTGTACTCACATACATGTAATGAATGTTGAACAAAAAATGTGTAGTTTGAGTCATTCATATTATAACACACAAGAAATGTTTTTCTCTCTGGAATTTGCCCTGATAGTTGTATGTGACAACATCTGTATTAATAACTCAGAATGATATCAGTTGACTAATGCAATAAGACAAAAACTAAAATTGATCAGAGACAGTGAGATTTGTCCTGCTCAGTTTCTGTTTGATCTTTCTAGAGTGAGTTTGAATACCAAGACTTGTGGATAAGTGATGTGGTTTTCGATTTGTTGTTTGGCACTTTAACACGTATGTTATGGACAACATTGATCTTGTTGCGGAGGTATGTTTATTTTAAAGATGGTATATAGTAAATACAATATTAATAGCACCTTTATCATATAATTAACTACAAGAGTACATTACAATTATTTATTTTAAATTAATGTGATTCCATAAAAGAAAATGTACTGAAAATTAATAGAAAAACTTCACTTTTTTGCTTATCGTGTCAGAATTTAAACTTCTCGTCAAAATATAAATAACTAATACAAAAGGTTGTATTTTATAATTTTATTATTTGAGAGAATTGTCAAGATAATTAATAGATACAGCTCTCATGTAAGACATGAGTAATGAACATGACGAGTCAGATACAGGGGTGAAAGTTCTTCAACAAAGAGCAAAAGAATGTAAAGAAAGATTTTAGGAACAACAATGAAACAAATTTATCTTTGTGACATGATGTAACACACTTCAAATAATAAAGTGAAAAAACACATTTAAAGTATTTGGTATAAATATAACAATTTTTTGCTTTTGTAAAGAAGAGGAATTAATGAATTGATGTAATAAATATTTATTATATACAAGTTTGTTTTCAAATATTAATCAACCAAGGAAAAATATAATATTTTTACTAGGAATTGTTGTGTAAGATATCAGGAAAACAATAATGTTAATTTCTTTCAGATGTTATTTAATGAAAGGATGAATCAAAACACAGAAACAAAGAAGGGGTTTCCCCAGCTGCGCTCTGTGGCAAGGATTTCTCAGATCCCAGTGGTAGAAACTGGATGGCAATATGCTTCTGGAATCTATAATAAAATTAAGGTAATATAGAAAGTATATAACTGAACAATACTGTTATAAAAAGGAAAATACTAATTCTTAGATCTAGAAAAAAGTTCTTATCATAATCTTACATCATTGTGTGAATTACCTATGTGATAGCCAGTATTTCCAAATTTCTGCTATTAAATAGTAATGTTCAGTCACCTATGAAATTTACAACTACACTCATTGGTGAATTTATGGATAGGCAAAGCTAGGCAAACCTAGGCACACCTAGGCATGTGCAAATTTCTGATGCACCTTTTTTTAGATAATTAAGTTTATTGAACAGTTAAACTAAATCTAAAACAATAATTTTATGTACAAATTTATGCGTTTTTATAATGTCGTTAAATATTTGTGAAAAAAAAAATACTACAGGAATTGCTCCAGGTTCTTTGAAAAACTGAACTTCACATTATTTCCAAATACTGATATCACCTTTCACATGAATGAATCTACACCTATTTCAGATTGTTTGGCTGAAAGATTGTTTTCCATTTTGATGCATATCAAAAACTACTTAAAACACTTCAAACTACAAATTACATAAATCTGCCACTGACTCAAACCAATAATTTACCAAATCTGTACAAGTCTGCATATGGTAAAAAATATTCATTCATAACTTTTATACATCCTCATGTGTATTGTACAATGGAAGTGGATGGTTGGGGAAGGAATACCTTCCATTCTTGTACTATGTCGATGACAGAATTAATTTTGATACTAGTGTTTGTGTTTAGGAAATTTAAATATTACATAAAGCTCATATTGACACTATTTGTTTTTAATAATAAAATCTTTTTTATATCCAAATAATTTCATAATCAGCATATTTTGACATAAGTGGGACAACAACAGAGCCAACTTGCACTCAAGAGAGCCTTATGGTCTTCCTTGATGCAAACTGGCACAAGGCTCCACTTGTGGCTTGTGTTTTTTAGAAATTCTTCAAAGAAATGTCATTTAATTTAATTATGAAACTTCCAAAGGAGACTCTGAATTTGGCTGCAATACGAGAAGTAGCTAGAAATTCCTAGTGTAATTTACAAAGCATCTAGGCACTAGCATGTACATCTATATACACTTATTTCAGGACTTTTGTCCACTACCCTTAGGTTGATCCATGATGTATAATCACCAGTAATGGTTCACTTTCTTTATAGTGATCTCTTTTAGTGAAAATGTATAATTTGAAAAACTTATAATGAATAATGTAGTACAATTGAAGGAGTTAGTGAAGGTGTTCATTCACTGAAACTTCTACTTACACTCATGTTCAGAGGCATAGTGTCTAAACGTCCCCCACTCACCCACATTATGTAATTTAGTTCCATAATATAAACTATTCATATTTTATAGGGATCAAATTCACTTGTGGCTTGGAGTTTAGGAACAGCAGAATCAACAGTACAAGCAGCTGTGGAGAAAACTATTCCTATTGTTAATGTTTTTGAGAAACCTTTATCTCTTGTGGATACAATTGTTTGCAAGAGTTTGGATTTAGTAGAAGAAAGAGTTCCAGTGGTAACACTGCCTCCAGAACTGGTAAGTGTTCATTTTGGAGATTGCTGAAAAAAAATCAGTACCAGCTCTGTTTGAAATTTCCACTAATTTGTGAGTTAAATTATTCTCTTTTATCAATTGTTTCAAATCACTGCTATTATTTTAATTGGATCCTTCATTATTATCATCATCATCATCATCATCATCATCATCATCTTCAATATCTACTGCTCGTTGCTAGGCATGTTGCCTGTCCCAGTACTCTTGGTGTTTTTTTTTAGTGTTCTGTGTTCTTGATCTAACCATTTCTTTTGTGGTCTTCCCATGTCTTATCAACAAAGAGTGTTCACCCTAACAGTTTAACATTAGAAATAGTTTTTAGATAATAAGGCATAAAATCAATAAATAGATGCTCACTATTTCAATTTGATCACTCAATTTTCATGTCTAAAGGGAAAGTTGATGGCATTGTTAAAAGCATTCACATCACATGTCCTGTGCCATGGCTTCATTCTCAAGGAAATTGGAGGATGAGAGGATTCTGGGAATTAAGTAACACAATCTGGGGTCATTGATGTGGTATCATGGCTGCTTGCTCCATTTCATTTCCGTTTTTTTTAATGAGACAGCGGATATGAAGTGATCTAACCATTAATTCTTTGAATGAACAGAGACTTCCTTACCTTCCTGCAAAAACATCTGGGGTGGTAAAATATCGACATCCGAAGTCAGAGTAACTGACTTGTGATAACTCTCATGTTACGAGCAACATGAGAGTTTGTTTTATATTTAGATCACTATTCCGGGTACTAAAACTGAAAATGATTTAAATGTTCATTTTTACCGAAGGGGAGATATAAATATTATTAAATGTATTTAAAAAGATAGTAAATAATTCCTATTTTTGTCAGAAAGAAAAAGTAAAACTTAGTTAGAATGTTTCATTTTTTTAAATTCATACTCATATATTAAAAACCTTTCATGTACATTTGATATAATAGATACTTTATGAAACATCCAATGTCTAGTTTTGATTTTATTTTTTGCATTTAGGGTAATTTTTTTACAAATGTAATTGTTGAAGCATACACTTGATAATTAAAGAATTTGAGGTGATTTGAAAAGCGGTCTGCATGATTTATGTCTGTTAACCTGTGCAATTATCTGCTGCTTTTGAGTATCAAGTTGCTACTTTTGACCCTAAAACCAAGAAATTCAACAATTTCAGGGGAGGTGTACACCCTCCTCTCCCCTCCAACCCTATGCCACTGATTTGTTATAAGGCTTTTGAACAATAGAATCAGATATAACAAGTCAAGGAATAAAAATTGAAAATAATGAAACTAATGTAATAGTTACCTTTCATGTTTTGAAATTCTAATTCTATAATACTGAATACACCCTAACAAGCCCTGAAACTTTTTAAGACTTTGATCCCCATCTTAATTGAGTTTACTTTTGATTTACCTTACACCACTATGCAAAAAATGACATGACTTTGGTCTTACTGTGCATTTAGCTTCTCTACCTCCCAAACAACACATTATTAAAATATTTTTGTATTGAAGAGTACTGAATCCTTTTTGCTTTATGAATTTTGAGAACAACTTTTTGTTTTGGCAGATTCTTGTAAGTGGGAAGGAGTATGTGAGCAATTCAATTGTCCAGCCTGTTCTGAAACGTGCTGATTCAGTTAAACAATTTGGTCTAGATCAAGCAAACCATGTTTTAGAGAGCAAATACACAGAATTTGCTGCCAGTCAGATTGATAATGCTTTGGATTTGGCTGACAAATATGTTGAGAAATACTTGCCTGCATCTGGGCAAGAAGAAGCAAATATTAAAGGTGCAATTGAATCATTAATAAAAATGTATATAATATTATTTGCATTAAATTATTTATAATATATAACTTAATAAGTAATGAAATATAAATATATTTGTAAAACTTTCTGTTTTACATTGCATTATGTATATGAATTTTCAGGAATAAATAATTTGGGAAATAGTAGAGCAGCTCAGACAATTCAACATGTAGAAATCTTTTCTCGGAAGTTGCAAAGAAGGTTGACCCAACGCACCTTGTATGAAGCTCAAGCCTTCAAACAAGGTGGTGAGGATTTGTTGCAGAACCTACTCAACATTGCAGAACTAGTAGGTTTACATTCACAACATTATTCGGATGAGTATTTTATGTTTGGATTTGTTGTGACTTGAAGTGTTTAATCAAAATGGTTTCTTATTGATGTCAATGAAAGTCTAATATCATAAAAATTTACAAACAATTCTTTGTTTTAGTTGGCTCGTGACCCAAAAGCTGTTTTTGCAATGGCTAAAGACCTCTGGGCACAGTTAAGTAAAGATGAACCTGAAAACCAAACTCCACCTGCTAACTTGGAAGAGATGACTGTGATGTTAACAAGAGAAAGTGCTCGCAGAGTGGTACATCTCATCAATTACACTCAACAAGGCATCACCAATCTTCCTGAAACTCTCTCCATTAAAATGCACACTGTCATCTTGTATTGCAATCAACTCACGGATACACTATTAAAGGTAACTTTCTTTTATAGATAATCTATATCTCAATGTTTTAAAACAATTGGTTGCTGAATAAAGAATGGTACATTTCAGGAGGAATAAAAAGGAAATTTTTTATTTGTTATACTTCTACTATGAAGCTGTGAAGTATGTCCATCCAAATTAATATTGATATACCTAAAAATTTTAATCAACATTTCCCTGACATATTGAAAGATTGTTTTTGTTTTATTTTGATCTGTCTCTGATTTTGTAAATGTTTTCAATTTTTAAGTTAACTGTTATAAGCCAAGTCTTGGGATGGTGTTGTTTGTTTTTCATTTATTTGAAGCCCTGAAGATTTTTTTTATTTGGCAGATAAAAAATTCAAGTTTTTTTATTGCTTGGAACCAAAAATAAAAGTTTAAACATTTGTTATTGTTGTTGTTGTTATTATTTTTTTTAATTAAAAATTTTAGAAGCACACATATCATCCTTTATTTGTGAATTATAAAAAGACCTAAAATGCGGAAATTGAAGAATGTGTATTAGAATAAAACCATTGTTTTCAGATACTCTAATCGGTACACCAAATTATAATTCCTTCTTAGTTTAGATTTTCCAGGATTTTTCTATATAAGTACTTTATCATTAATTTTTAAAGAAAGAAAAATATAATAAAATAAAGAATAAATTCTGAATAAGAAATATGTATTTATATTCTGACCATTATTTTAAAGGAATTTCATGTTAATATATTTGATTAGTAATTTGGTAAATTTTTTTAAAGTATGCTAATAAATTGTAGTTTAAATCATTTAACATGATACTATAATACACTTATTCTTCTATTAGATTTAGTTAAGGGTAAAGTGTCATTCAATTGCTTACAGAAATCTTAATTAATATTTATAAAATCTTTACTGGGATTTGTTCTTGGTGATATTATTAGGATAGATGATTTATAGATTTAAAAACTATTTTAAAAGACTGAGATATATATTTCAATGTCATTGCTACAGCTATATTTTGAATGAATGGAAACAAAAAATGCTGCCTTTTAGGATATACAACTGTAAATGAAAAGTATTTGAATTTTATTTGTCTTATTTCTATTAGGCTGTCCACTTTGAGGATGCCAAATATATCATCATTTCTCAGGCCAAAGAACAAGTTGCCAAGATTCAAGCTCTACTTGATGAGATCAACTCATACAGCAACCAAATTATAGTAAGCGTTTGAAAACCATTTGGCAAATTCGAAAACTAACATTTTCAAACTTTGGAGTGTGATTAGGGACTCATTTATTATTGCAATTATATTAACATACAAACTTTAATTCTTCTGTTGTCATACATTGATTCAATTAATCAAATTTTATTATGAAGTAATTTATAAAGAGGGAGGTTTTTAGTAACTAATATTGAAAGATGATTGCATGTCTCAACATTGTCATATTTGTTTCACATTTCAACTAGGGAGCAGAACTGTATATATTATAGAGCATGCATGTCATTACATCTTGATTGATGTTTGATACATAACAAGTGGGCATCAGATATTGCTTTTTTTTAAAAATTTTCATAATGTACGAAGGAAGCTTTTGCACTAACAATCTAAAATCAGCGCAGCAAATTCTGAAAACTGAATTATGTTCTAAATTGAATTTCAGCTTATCCATGTGATCTCCCACAAATTCAGAGAGGACGGTTTGCACAAGTGTTCTTAAAATCATTGTTCAAGGTGCTATTTATCTCCCTCTGCTAATCTGGTTTCAGGATGATTACCAGGATTTCTAACATCATGGTCATGTCGTGAAGGGTAGGGGTAAGTTAAGGATGAAATCTGTCGCAACGAAGAGTTTTGTGAATATTTTGTGAGAAGATCTCATTAAATTGTGTTGAAATATGCAATATGTATGAAGAAAATCCATTTTTGTATTTAATTATTACATTTGAAAAATTGTATTAAAAAAATGGAAATGACTATATAAAGAAATAAATTAATTGATTTCATACAATTCTGCTCTCTAATACTAAATAAATCATTTGGAAAATACTTTTTAGCAGTCTGCATGAAAGGGCACGAAGGAGTAACTGATTCAATTAATAAAGGAAGAATACAAAGTAGCTGTTTCAAAATCATGTCAATTGTATAGTTAGGTTTACTACAACTTTCATAAACTTTTAACAGTTTTATTTTACTATTTGTTAGGTTGAGATACAAAATATATTATTGCAATTAATATTAAAATTTCAAAAAATAAGAAAATTATGATTAATTTTATTAATCATATTGTAAAATATATTTTAAAAAGTACATGTATTATCTTCAAGTACAAGAAGGCTGTGTTCAAATAAAAATGAAGTTTGCAAACAAGCTATATATCTTGGAAAAAGAAGAAATTATTGATTCCTTTATTTATTGTAGATGATTTCAATAAGGAAGAAAGAAGAAGCATTAATACTTTTTCCTGATTAGTTTTCAACTGTACTTATTTATTAAAAGATATTTCAGTATTTATGATGCAACCAGAAGTACTCATCAAAAAGTACATTTAAGTGGTTCTAAAATCATAATGAAATGGATACTTAACCCTTGTTGATGTAAAATATTTATGAATATCTGTTGTATCTCAGTGTGTCATATTTTTTTCTGAAAATGGTGTTTTTCTCTCATCAAGTTCACACAGCACATTAGGTCAATAAATTAATATGGGAAATTTAAAATAAATTACCATGTTTCAGGAGCTTGTTACACAGCTGGCGGGCAATACATCAAAAGCATCCTCAAAACCTCCAAAGAGACCAGCAAAACCATCACCAAAAATACAGAATGGCACAAATTTACAAGTACAAAACCATCTGGATAAAATTGACTGATTTATCTGATTTATTCAGTTCTTAAATTTTATTGAGGTCATTAGATCATCTTATATTTAATATAGAATATATCATACTTTGACCATTGTGTTGTTGAAACATTTGTTACAGTCACATTTTCAAATAAAGTAATTGTTTATTTTATATACACATATACTTATAACTAGAATCAAGTTACCCATATTTTTATAAATTGGAAACTTTATGATAAACACATGCTTTATGTAATGTAACCAAATTTATTTTATATATCAATTATTTCTATTTTGGCCTGTCTCAGTAATTTAAAAACAATGTAGACAATGTAATATACTTGTGAATTTGTAAAAAGTAATTTCAATTTGGTTATCCAAGATTTTCCAGGGCTGGTACTTGATAAGAGAGCAGATGATCAACTTAGGTTTTTGAAATTTGTCCATATTTAAGTTTTTTCTTTATTCAAATATCCTGCTTTATGCATCTTCATTACCTAGGTACTGCACTCCCTGTGTGTCCCAGCCCTGCTCCCTGCAGTTTATATAGAAGTGTACAAAACAGAAAATGTCACAAGACTGATGTGTTGAAAGGAGAGACCTTCCATTGTCAAATATTTGTATTGGTAATAAAATCAGTTCATTAGTTCTTACTTGTATATGTTTATATATTTTTCCTTTGCAAAATACTTTCGATTGAAACTGCATACTTAATATCAGTTATTTGTGTAATTTATAAGCATTCTGTGGAAAATGTACTTCATAATTTTCATAGAGTATAGAAACGATATTTCATACAACACAAGTAGGAAATCAATTATCACAGTAAGAACACATATATCCATACAATGCACATTTATGTCTCTAAAACTAGCATATAAACTTATGTAAAACTGGATAACAGTTTATAATCAAATTAATCTTCACACATTCAAAAAGAACATCGTAAAGTATATTTCTGTACTTTAGCATTAAATACATAATGTTTAAAAGTATTTATTAACCTCATGAAGGTTAAAACTTTTAAGATTAGAAAAAAAAAAAAAAGAATGAGTCAGATCCAATTCTGAAAAAGTCAGATCCAATTCTGAAGTATGACACTGTCAATTAATGAATAACAACTATGTTGAAAAATTCAACACCAATTTGTGGGGATAATTGGGATAACAAATAATATTGCATTTCCAAATAAAACAGAATTGCATTTTCTTGCAGCATCTCTCTGTCTCTTTAATGTTTCTTCTTCCTCTTCATGTTTACTTAAGGAAGGCCTGGAGAATTGCAGTCTGTGGATTGTTGTTTGGCAGCATATCTCAAAATTGAGTAAGAGAGCTGAAGAAGCAAATGAAAGTATTTTAGAAAATCAGACAGTACAATAAGAGCATCTGTTGTCACCCACTGTGTTAAATATATTTTTGAACCATTTATGTTATTTCTAAATGGCAGGAATGTATTAAAATAAATTAACTCATAATACCAGTATTTTCTGATGATGTGTCAGAAAATAACTCAAAAATCACTGCACTAATTAAATATCGCCAGGGGCACTCAAAAAGAGGAGGGAGGAGAGGGAGCAGTTGGGATGACTCGCCCCAAGCACCCACTTAAATGGGGTCCTATTTTGTTGTTGTTTTTTGTTCAAAACAACGAAAAATGTATGTACTTCTAATTCAAAAGAACCGCAATAATTTTTTTCTGCTGTATTAAACAATGATTTCTGTTAATGTGCTGGTGTGGAGGAGAGGAGGAACTTTTGTTTGAAATATGTCTCTGTGGTTCTATTGACCAAGGCCTCTGCTGCCATAAAATGTAGTAAATTTTCACCAACCAATCACACAATAGGCTTTGAACAATTTGAATTTCTAAAGAAACTATAATCTAAAAATGTTTATCTTCAAAAAAAAGTCTTAGACATAAACAGAAAAGAATTAATAGATGAAAATTAGTAATTTAAAACAAACATCATCATCATCATTATCATCATCATCATCATCATCATCATTATTAAAAAGATCACCAATTTCAAATATTTGGAATGCAACTTCAAGAGCTTTGGGTAAAGTCAGTCAAGAATTTCTTCATATGATAAGAATTTAAAATATCTATCCTAAAATAGGGATCTCATCCATTTTATTATTTGTATGATAAAAAATATTAATTATGAGAAAAGAAAATGGAGGACACCAGGAATGACTATGTGTAGCCTACATAGCAGCACTGGTTGCTGCATGATTGTGTTACTACTCCAAGGGCTTCATTGCAGTTAGTGGGTGCTCCAATTGAATCATTCATTTCAGAAAGCTGTCAAATGCCAAAATCGAAGACACACATTAGCGATGGATTATTGTTCCAAAAGGATAGACACATCATATGGTGCATATTTATACAAAATATATTCGTTTATCAACTGCATTAATAAATAAAAATATTTTGAAATCTGAAAAATTGGGAGAATTTTTCTCAGTTTTTTCGAAATGAGGAATTTGGCGTGGGGTTTCTGAAATAAACGATTAAATTTCAGATACTTGCAGTTGATCCTATTGGCCAGCAGATGGTATTGTAAATCATGGATGTTTTGAATTGTATTTGTGGCATGAAGAGTCATTCTCAATCCTCCTTGTATTGCCTTTGTACCTACCGTAATTCTTTTTCAATCCCATGCCCTGATGATTGTGAGATCTGTGAGCAAAATTAAGAAACTGTCTCTCTACTCTCAGAGCAAAAGGTACAAGCATTGAAATGAGCTTATTTGCTATTGTGGGCTTAGATGTAGGTGTTTTGAACAAAAAAATGTATAAAGGTTGAGGCAGCTTTTGAGCTAGACCACAATATTGTCTTCAGAACTAAGAACTGTTCAATAAATTTGTATACAAGCTTTGCAGCTTTAAAACCTATTTAACATCCTCTCTGAATATAATACACTAATGTTAGATGATGGTTTTTGATAATTTATAAGAAACAATCCAAACAAAACCCTGTAAATGTGCAACTTCTGGATAGTGAATTACTTCCTAGTTCTGTTTCCAACAGAATTAAGACAAAAAAAATTGAAGTTTGCATATAGTGACATAAAAACAGATTACGGCAACTCATATTATAATCCCGCAGAAGTAAAAAACAATGTACTCTAGGCACTTAAAACTTGGTTTATGTGTCCCAGAGAGACACAGTTCTGTGAAGCAGGCGACTTCTGTGGAGTCAGGAGGGGACATACATGGAAATGAAAGAGGCAGATAAGGCCCAAATTATGTCTCTTAAGAAGTATTCTACAAAATGGTATCTTTTTAAACTTTCTATTACTATGGTAGTAGGTTCAGTTTCTTTTGGTGCTCCAACTCTATAGCAAGGGTGGTCATAAAAGTGCAGAAACCCAAAATCTACATAAAATTAAAAGTAAGAAATAATCTTTAATATTAAAATTAAAGGGATTTTTTAATTTTCTGTGCAATTTAATCTCAAGCACTTAGCAATTTGAGAATGGTTACATTACTGGTCCTTTAACGCCATTACACACATTTCAGGAGCTGGTTGTTTGAACTCTTGTTCTAATAAGATGTTGTCACTTGTAAAACAATTATTTAGTGTTGAGTTTTCATACAGATCCATACAGTATATTTTAATTTTTATTTTAATATAATACATTGTAATTATTACATTATAAAAATAAGATTTTTTTAAATCAAATTTTGGTTAAATTGAAGTTCAGCTGCTTAAAATTCAAATCGTTTCATTAATTTCACAAGTCATGAAAAAAAAAATCTTTTGCATATATTTTCCAGTTACTTTTACTTTCCCGTACACATTCGTATATACGTAGTATAGGGAAAGTTATGTAATGCTGCGCGAAAAAAACGGCGGATTTTCGGAAGAAAAAATTCGAATAACGAAAAAGTGAGTAAATTCAGTTGCTAAATGAAGGAAAACAATTCTCTAACACGTGGTGTAGCCAGGATCCCTGTTCTTTGGGTCCTTGATATTGAAAAATCAATTGAGTCTGCCTGTCAATAAGTCTGTCTGTCCGTCCGCCCGTCCGTCTCTCTGCCTGTTTGTCTACACTCTAGCGTCTACATTATGCGTAGTATATTATCCAAATTGAAGAAACTCCTGTCCATCTGGCTCGAGTCGAACCTTTAAGATTTTGAAAAACATTCTTTAAAATTTGGGTGTTCATAAAGCCCTCCGAACATCGGCTCAGCCCTCCTCAAATTCAATCCCTTCTCTTTTTTTAAATCTATAGTAGTTTTCGCGAAATATTTCGTACAATATTTGCAATATTAAAAAAATACAAAAACAAGATTTTATCAAAAACGGCTTCATTTTTTCTATTAACTTTGGTAGAGATAGTGCCAAATGCACGCTATAAGATTACAAACGTCATATTGCTCTATTCTTTTGTTTTTTCAAAAATTACAAAAATGTAATGTTTTTGAAAGATCTCTCACGCCGTGAATATGTAAATTTCTAGCAATTTGTAAACACTATTGTATTTGTGAGTTAATATACTTCAAATAACTTCTAATGAAGTTTTTTCGAAAACTCAAAACGTTTCTGTGAAGAAGAGCTTCAAATTTCGATTTTACAGTGGCTCTTAAACGCCTTGTTCCTAAAAACGGCTGTAAATTTTTAAATAAATATTGCCATTTAAGACGAGTTTTTTCTGTTTTTTAATATTCATAAAATAATGTATCCGTTATACTATTAGGAAACCGAAAAATTAAGAAAATGTCAAAAAAATGTACTTTTGGCAGCGATAGATGGCAGTTGGCAAGAGTAAGAGGTAAGTATTTGTATTTTTTTTTATTTCTAGGGGTTACTAGTCATTGTTTTTAATTTTTAAAGTGAATGATCGCCGACAAAAAACGCTACGAAAATTGGAAGTGATATATGTAAATCTCTAAAAACATTAATTGTATTGTTCAACATTACAATAGACTTCTTTTTTGCAATCTATGATCCAGCATTGATTTAATCATAACTAATACAGGTCGTACCGATTATTATCAGTGCTCCGGGATTTGTTCCGCAAAATGTATATAATCATTTGTATAAATTCCCAGGTCATTCAAATGTCTGAGATGTGCAAGACATCGCGGTATTTGGAACATACTGCATTTTGTGCGAAGTACCAGAAGATCACAGATTTTTTGATTGACCCTAGGCGCAACAAGTGCTAAGGTAATTAGTACCGTAAGTGTAGGTAAGGTGTAGGTAGTACCGTAAGTGTGCTTATCTTTTGTTAAAAAAAAATCAGCAATTTAAATATTTGTGAAGTGGTTTCTGCATTTAAAACTTACTTATTGAGAAAGGTTTAAAATACTTGAGTTAGATGATGACTTATACATGAACGTGTGGGTAACGTGATGTTATGCATTTCGTTTTTCTATAAACAAGGCATGCTTTATCGCTGGAGATGGCGGCGATCTTCGCCCACTGCATGGTGAGATCCGGCGCCAACGTCCCGTCGACAAGAAGTGTTTTCCCCAACCTGGCTTCTACCAACGGGGCACACGCTCTAAGCTCCCGACCGGGTCCCGCCAAATGTGCATGCTAGCGTATGTAAGTAAGGGTTGAGAAGAAAGAGGAAGGAAAGATCGCGCGCGGTCCATGGCCCGTTTGATAGGGACTGCTCCGGCATTCGCTTGGAGTTGATAGGAGAGTCCACGGGAAGGTACCGATCAGAGCAACCGGTTGCTAGAATTCTCTTCCAAGTAGAGACTGAACTCGACCTAACGATCTAGCTAGTGTCGAAAATCCTGCCACCGTCCAGACTCGAAACTGGGACCTCCCTGTCAGAGGCACTGCAATGACATTAGTTAATGCTCTGATCCACCTCTCCTGGTCTAACAAGTTCAGTTGTAAATGATTATTCCCTTAAGGGAATGACAAAATAATAAAACTACGTTAACTCTAAGAAAAATAAATACTAAATTACCAATAACTTTAGAGTGCACATACTTTCAAAAGATCAGTGGAAGTACATATCAGGATGATTCTAATCAATATATCTGGATATCGTCCACCCGACTGACGGAATAGACTAGACCAAAAGT